GGGGGGGGGGATTAATAAGATATAGGATAATACTTTCACGATGAATTTATGTTACAATTTTACCACTCGAGATACACTCGCGATCGTAATCACAAATGCAGTATTTTATCTGTTTATTTATTTAGTTACAAATTGAATTGAACGATTCCAATCTTGCGAGAGACAATGCTGGAAGTGCGGGATAACAGTAGCAGTTTTTCCCCCCTACGTAACATATTTTCTCTATAACATATTTTTACTGATTCTACTTTCAGCATTTATTCTCATGGGAAGTCATGGCAACCAGTTTCTCGGTCATCCTACATTTTACGTCCATTAAAAACTGTGCTTTTTCGCCACGAGTGTTTGTTATAACGTTTAATGCGTCTCATATACAATAATAAGAACTTTATTCAGGATACCCGGCGTTGTTTGCCAGCACGCCTGTTGTTTACATTTAATTCCATTTCGACACGATACTCCGTAATCATGCTCGCGATAATCTCGAAGCTACCCGCGCCGATATTAACTTCGTCTCTAAAACGATATTTGCCCGTTTTATCGCGTTGCACGCGATGCACGCGGCATACATCTAGCAGAATCGGCGCAATCACGTCGAAGCATCGCGCGCGGGTTCATTATCGTCGTCCTGCGGCGTCACATTTACGCTCCTCGTTTCCCTCCTCGATGCCTTTACGTTCTTCGAGACGATGCAACAATGCACCGGACGCATATTGCATCCCGCTGCAACGTCCCGTGTGCCTCGGCATCGCGACAGAGTCTGGTCTACGATTTATTAGATGTACATAATTACCAAGCACGCGTATCCTACACTCTGGATTTATGTCGTCCTTCTTACATAAGGATCACTTCCAACGAGAAGCACGCTTAATTAACACAGGTTATTTAGAATAACCTGTGTGAAAAAAATAGCATTTTTTTAAGGTGAATATCTAATATCTAATTAGCTATACTCTTGTATCTGTTCAGTATCTGTATAAGTAGGTAAGATCTGTATAATATTGTAGTAAAATAATAACGTTAATATCTGCATTTTTATTTTCTATTTTCTCAACGATTTGTCAACCTTCTCGGAAATTCTTAATAAATTTCTCAGATAGTTAATTACACGAGATTAACACTAATCTAGACTGACGCGAGCAATTCTAAGAGATAAAGATTTATTTATAGCAAGGTGTACAGTTGCTCGTCTATTCATATTCCAAGCTTGTGTTGCAACTGTTATCGATCGACCGGTTCCACGTTCGACGGAACTTCGCGACGAGCGACGTACATTTTTCCCCGATGCTGCAAACGGAAAGTTACTTTGTATACGCGACTCGATTCACCGCGAAGGAAACGACGGTTGCGCAACGAACGATGGTTTTTCCAGGTGAAGCCCAATTCGGAATTGGAGTTCGAGCAACACGGACTGTACTCGACGATATCGAGTCTACTGCTCGAGCTGGAGCCGGGTCATCTCGCCAGCGACAAGATAAACGTCAGGTAATTTCGGTGTTTACAACGTGCCGTATATTTCCGTCGTTCGACAGAGCCGTCGCCTATGGCACCTTGGCGCCATACCCCTTCCCCCCCCCTCCCACCTCATAAATATACATCGCGACGCTCGCTCGCGAGTGGGACGGCTCGTTTTACGCGAGTTTCGCGCGATGGTGCGCGATAATTTATCCTTCTGTCTGACCGGCCACCCGCGCCACTCCTCCGACTCCGAAGCATGATCGAATGTCTTGTTGCAGGTGCGAGGCGGCGGTGCGATTGACTTACGATGGCCACGACGTGGACATTCGCAACACCGAGATCCTTGGTAAGACCCTGCACATTACGCTAACAGCTGTATCGATCGATATACAATCAGATCGGCGAGCGTGTCGCGATCGAGGTTCGAGATCACGTGGGGCGAAATAATAACATCGTGATTATAAACGCTCGTGCCCGAATCCGGATTATTTCTGTCAGCCTTCAGTCAGATAGATTAAACGCGCGAATGAAGAGAAGAATCTGAAATTAGCGTTTGACTAATGTATAATTTTCCCTCTTGTTAAACTCATTTGAGATATGATGCAATACGAGATAATGTCAGAGAGATAGAATTGTATGTATAATTTGACATTCCGTAAACATATATAATAATGCGTAAACGTATAAACACTTGCAGAATCAGTATTATATTTACAAAGTTAATGTTTGTGTTTATATTTTCTGCTTTATGTCTACGTATACTATTTTACTCAATGGAAAATACATGCGACATATGTGCAGTTGAACTGACAGATTTAATATTCATGATTCAAAAGTTTTAATTACACATAATTTGATACAGCAATGTCTGAGAATAAATTATGTGCTTGTAATGTGAGAATAAAATTATTTACACATTCGCAGTGTACCTTTATTAAATTATTGTATACAAATGCATATGATTAAATAATAAACCATATGCTGGAAAATGAGAAAATTCGAAAATAAGGGAAAAAGGTGAAAAAAGGGAAAATCAGTGCAAATAAGATTTAACACGTGTTTGTGTAATTTGATATTTTTGATAACAATGTAATATATGTGTCCATAGTCCATTCTTATTTCAAGACTGTTTTAAGTATAATAATAAATCAAGATACTAATATATATGGATCTATTGATTGATGACATCTGGCTTATGACAGTTTAAATGAAGAGAATTAAGATTTAAATCGGAGATATAAGAATCGATATATGAATGATGATATATGAATATCCGACCTGTGATATTCTCGCTTACATTATAATTTGAATATAAGAGTAAGATATATGTATAACATAAAATTTATCATTTATATATATTCTTTATATATAATTGCATTCATATTTTGAAACATTTAAATTATAAATAAATCCCAAAACCTCTGTCCCAAAAAGATAAACTAAAACGATCTCCATTAATTATACATTAAACTAGGAACATCGAAATCGTAATATTTAATGCACTTTGTGCCGCGTGTAGTAGCGAGAGCAAATGAAGCTATACACCAAATAAAAGGTGTTTGTACTCGCAACAATTTCGGTTATCGATACACCGTACATTTCTTTCGAGGTAACCACTCGAGGAAATGTACACGCTTTATTATTTCCTGGCATGCGAAATTAGCATGGGACCCGCATTACAGCGGGGCCCGACTAATCGACCGACTCGGTTCCCGCGGGGAGAGCAAAGGGCTGCAGAGAAATTAAGACAATAATTTACAACCGTTACCACCTGCCCTCGCAACACGCTCTCACCCAGCTGCACCTGCAGTTACTTTATCCTTCGCCCCCTCCTCCCCCCTTCCGGATTCGCTCGCGACCATGGCATTCGTTATCGTCTAATTCCTACTTAAATTAGTTCCGACCACTTTTCACACTCCTCTCCTTGCTCTCATCCCTCCCTCTTTGATATCCAGGGGCAGCATTATAAAACAATCGATGAGCACATCATACACTTGTAATAAGTGCGAAATTACGGCGGTGCGAGAGCGCGTCTCGTTTCCCTCGCACGGGGTGTCGCCAATGGGGAAAATCGGATGGGCGAACCAGCGAGAGGGGATGAGGGGATAGGGGAGAATACGTGATTCATCAGATCGCACACAGGCGGTGTGTCTGTATGCACTCGCGTACCCGACCAACAACGCTCCCGGCAACGCTCGGCGCAACGCGCGATTAAATATTTATCAACTAATCCCTCGCGTCACGCAATTCGAGTTACGATAAGAAATTCACGATTCGCGCGCGGCGTTACAGCGGGCAAATACGCGAGCACACGCTCGCGGACACCGGGCGTATGCCGATATACATATATCACGAGCGTTTTACCGCAATAGTATTTTTCGGCTCGCCCGATGGACCATAAATCGACTTTTCGCGAGAGCACTCGTTTACACGCGACGCGACGGCAATATTTCGTGGCGATGTAAGCAGACTATTTTTCGTGGGAACGCGCAGACACTCGCAGTTGACTGGTCGTTGAAATCGCAATAGTAACATCCGAGAGCGAGAGAGAGAGAGAGAGAGAGAGATGTGCACGCAGTGCACTCCACGCCTGCAGCGTCGTACTCTCGATTCAGGTCAATTTTGTCAGAATGAGCCACTGCGGCCGATCAAGCTATAGCGATTCACACTGTTTCGAACGCATATATTTCTCTTTTATTAGGGTCACAAAGGTAATCAACGATTTACCACATTTGTATACGATTGTGCTCGCCGGTCGGAAAATACGTCGAAAAATACGCGCGCCCAGTGGGGAACACCTGCCGCGAACGCGAATATATTTTTTTGTTTGTAATTCAGAGAGTGTTGTTACGTGTCGCGCTCTCTATTTTTTGTAAATTATAGCCTGGAATATCGGCGTTAAGATATCGGAAACGGTTGTAGCTGGCATAAATTGAGCAGCGTATTCTTTTCAGGGGGTAATCAATAATTTATCACATCGCGCGATATACAATTGGCCGTTGATAAAGAAGATAGTCCATTGAAAAATGCCATCTTGTTTCATTAAAGAAGACGAAACAACGCGCGCGCACACGTTTGCGAGCCGCGATTTCGCGTGTACTACGCGTCGCAAGAACGATGAAATTTCTTCCAACAATAGCGAGCGGCAATTGCATTCCGATTAGAAGGTAAACGTTTTCGATTCGACGATGATGCGCGATTTTTGAGAATGCATCGCGGGGCCGTGACGACCGTAACGACTCATGCATTACGAATGCGCAACGAGAATGATCAAATGTGCGTTAGCCTGCATGCCGTCGCGTCACGCCGCGCAATACAAATCCCGCGGGCGGACGGAGGGAATTACAATGCATATAATACGCGGCATTTGACTAGTTCCACGTATAACTACGCTATTGTAAACCGACAAACATTTCGGCGCATACAAACGCGCGGCCTAGTTATCGGGATATTTTGCCGTTGTGTGTGTCGCGCGTCGGTAAACGCGTCTGGAAATATTCGAGGCATAAGTCGAGCCAATTCCCACATTGTTAGTTCACGCGAGACACGTACCAGCGTAGAATTCCTATGGGAACGCTACACAACTTTGATCCGTATAATTTTGCGAAATACCAAGATCAATGGACGTGGTGTATAAACGAGTTTTCGCGTACTTGAAAAGAAAATATATGAAAATATCTATTCTGCTGTAATCTATATATGAATAGTTCATGAATTTTCTTAGGTAATAGCGCTCGATAATAATCTTCGTAACATTTATTGTAATCATACCCGTTATTTACCCGCAAGCATTACCTAGTATGCCCATTATAACGGAGTACGAAGAAGAGACGCGTGCTTTTATCGTCGCTAGATACCCCAATGGTACTCGGCCTAATTGCATAAGTGGGCCTCCGAATATCGACCGGGCGAGCCGGAGCGTTGCACGACACGGGATAAAAGGGTAAAAGAAATAAACGCGCAGGGGGCAACGGACACGCGGGAGGGAGGGCGGTAGGAACCTCCCGTGCGAGAATAAGAGGGCAAAGGGAGATGAGAGAGAGAAAAACAGAGCCCGGGCGGCCGGAGTCAGGTCGAACAGCGCTAGGGTGGGAAGGAGAGGACAGGTAAAAAGAGGCTAGGCAAACCGGAAAAGACGTCGAACGACTCGAAGAAATTGCTCTTAACGATCTTCGATTTTCTCGTTAGGCGGAATCGTTCTTGGAAGCGCTCTACGCGGCGGCGGCGGCGGCCGGCGTCGCTACGCCTCCTGCATTTACCGCCGAGCTAGCTACCTATAGCTCGAACCTCCGCCAACTATCAGTTTTCTTTCTATCAGCGGCCACCTTTCGTCTCCCTGTGTCACTCCCTCCTACCTCGTCCTCGTCCCCTTCCCCCTCCCCCCGCGCGTTCTCAACCTCTCAAATTATCCTTCCGCATCTCTCCTTTTCCTTATTTCTCCTTTAACCCAGTCACGGGCTTTAACTCGGTCACGACACTCTTCGATCCTGCTGCCAAAAGGCGTCCCCGTTCAGTCCGCTTTAATCCATTTTAATCGGACGGGACGAGTTAATTTTAAAATATCCTCGCGTAATTTTACTCCTGCATATTTTGTTAGTTATATAATTATATTTGTGCTCTGTCGAGTGGAATTTAACCGCGAACATTTATAATATGCGCGGGACCCGTATATCTGTCGTTACTAATTTATGACAAAACGTTTGGATGCATTGTGTCACGAAATATAATTCATTTAAAATGTTAAAACATTTTACAGTAAGTATTTTAACAGTTTTACTTACATATACATATACACTATATATATGTAAATATGTATATATGTATATGTATTTTTTAGATTACCATAAAAACTAAAACTGGAGCCAAGAATTTAATCTTTTTAGCGATTGTCATTCTTGTCAACAATTCGTTCTAAAAAGCAATAAAGAAAATAGAATGCAGCGATAAGGAGCAAAAATTGAAGATAAAAATTTTGGAATATCAATACGCCTAAATTTTACCGCGCACTCCTTTTGCAAAAATCACGGGAAAGGTAATCTATGACAGATCAACTGCAAATTTGATACAGACGGTATTGATCCTCGAACATGTCTCTTTTCCTTCAGTGCGTTGCCCCCGTATAGAAAGCGGAAAGACCGTACGCGTAACTTTATTCTTTTCACAAATAATACCAAAACGCAGCGAGAGTGAGCCGACAATAGCTCCGGCTGGGTTATGTCGTATCGACGGCTGATATTGTATTTCTCTTTATATTTCCGGAATGAGTTGAATGCCGTTCCTTTCGAAGCGCGGATAGAAATACCGCACACATTCGTTCGTTCGTTCATTCGTTCCCTGATAAAAAAAAGAAGGGCAGAGGGATGGAAGAACGTGAAATAAATCTGAAAAACTGTATCGAATAGACGATTTTCAGTAGCTCAATAGGCCCCACGAGTTATGTCATATGAATGACTAGTATTGTCTGCCTGTTTACGTTGCTTGAATAGCGGCCACATTGTTTCGCTTCGCACGCGATGTATGACGGTCAAGTTGTCACACATCCGTGATTCCCGTATTTTCTACGTATACGCGGAAATGTAGCCACGGACTCTCGTTCGGTTTTATCGCGGTCGAACAATTTCTCATCTCGACGAAATTATTGGACTGTTTCATAAAATTTTTAATAATTATTAAGGCGAAGAAAATAATTATCTCCCGCGGATTTTCCCCCGCGTGTCCGTTGCCTCTTTGTCTTTTACTCTTTTACCTCGTATTGTGCAACTCGCAGGTTATTAATGTGAAGGAAAAAAAATAATGCTTCGGCTTATTATTATTTACTTTAATAAATTAGTCCCAAATATGTCTAGATAATATTCTGTACCAAATTGCACAAATAAAAAATACTTTTTTGCGTTAAAAGTTTTTTTTTACGTGGCACGTATTTGTAATTTATCATACATATTGCAGCATATTGAGTTTTTTAAATATTGTTCCGGCCACATTTTACCATTAAATTGTCACGTTTTTGGACGTATTTTAGCATAGACGAAATAAGATAAGAGCATAAGTAGAACGAGGGAACTGTGTTAAGAGTTAAGAATGCGTAGTAGCGAGTACAAAAGGGACGCGCCGTTTGCGAAGTCGTTCATCTCGTTACGAAATGTATCCGAAAGTTACACACGTTTCAGTTAAACTACCGTTCCTCCAAAGAAAACTAGCTTATCGAGTTATCTCAAAGCACTCGTGCGTGACGGAGGTGACGATACCAATTCTAGGCCTCTATCTGTGTCTTCTGTCTAAAAATCTATCAACTCCAGAAACTATATAACAATCTATTTCGTGCTACTTTTGATATAAAAATAAATTGATTTATCAGCAACGTCGATAAAAATCTTGATTTTTTTATTGACTTTATGTCGATTTATTTTTACGTTAAAAGTAAGCATGAAATATAGATTGTTATATTCCTGGAGCTACATGTAGGTTCCATATTTTTAAGTGATGTCTCTTTCTTTATTTATATATTATTAACAGTATATCAATTTTGCGCGAATTTGCGCGAATGAAATTCTCCCATTCCACGTTATAACATAATCTTCGCCTACTTATCTGACTGTGATTCTAATAATTAAATGTCATAATTAACATTACACTGTCATTCATGTTAAAACCGTAATCTTTCTTGCACGAGACGGAAACTCAATTGTCACTAGAATGAACTGGCATGAGTATGCAGTGTGATTTAGCAAATAATTATTCATGATAATTCTCTCGTTGACGCTAAAGAGAAATTACAAGAGAATTCTAGCGACCTAAGCATCGAATAAATTGTCATTTCCTAGCTGTTTTCCAGCTGATGATCTGTCACAGTAGGCGAGTCGAAAGAAAGATTTGCTCTAACGACTTGTCATTTCTTATATGTTTCAGTTCAAGGTCTCGCCACCGTGACGACACCATCACTATGTCTGTTGGTGGCTGCAGTACTACAACGATTTTTGCTGCCTGTGTAGACCGTTCCGGCGCGATGAGGGCGTCAAAACTGACTCTAACACGAGAGAAGACAAAGAGAAAAAGCGGAGCCTCACGGAGGAAACGGAAGGCGAGGAACGACCAACGTTTCGTGACGAAAGACAATCATATCTTAATACGAAGCGAACTGCGACGAGAAATCGGGGGATTCGCGTCGAGACTTGTCGATCGTTATCGCAAGTGGCGAACGGCCGCCACGCGTTCTTGCGATTTTTGCACGTCGCTGCGCCTTCTCGTTAGACCGGAGAGGAGAATATCGTGCTGAGGCAAAATCGATCCGCTCGTCATTGCTCTCGAGAGTACATCTCCCCCCCCCCCA